CTAAAATGTAGAGTGCTGCTAAAAGAAAGCTATTAAGTAGAACTATAACAGAAAAATACAAAATACTACTTTATAAAGATCTTGACTAAGTAGAATCATCTGTATCTGTATCAAAAAATTTGATATAGATACATTCCAAAGCAAACATTGTCTGGATGGTCAAAAGAAAAAAACAAAATATATTCAAAAGTCGAAAAACAAATAAGACTTCTGCAAAAAGAGTGTCTCCCTAAATGAGGATTTGGATAAAGCGTGTTATATGTGGCTTTTAAACACCTGACATTAAAACATTCCTGTGTCTGGAACCATTTTTAAAGTTGAAGCTTTGCATTTTGCAAAAGAACTTGGTTGTGAGAATTTTCAAGCATCCGATGGATGGAAAAAAAGAAACAATTATTTAAAACAATATCATGTATTTTATCATTTAATTTTTTCATTGATATTTACATTTTTTTCAGTCATTTGTCTAAAAAATAATAATAGACATGGTACTCTTATTTCTATTCCATCCCCCATAAACCAATAAATTATCAAACCAATTCTTCTATTTTAATTTGCTTAAAGTTATTACCACATTTTAGCTTATGTTAGAAAAAACGACAGAAAGTTTGCATTAGAAGACCGTTAGGTAGCATTGGTTATTGACAATTGCACTGCCCATCTGAATATTGAGAATCTTAAATGGGTCCCACTCTACTTTTCCCCCTGAAACACAACCTCATGTTTGCAGCCAATGCAGTCAAGGAGTCATTTGATTGTTGAAGTGTAAGTATCAAACTAATTTAATTCACAATATCATAAATGCAATTGATAACGGAAAACAAATGTCTTCAATCTCCATACTTAAAGCTACAAAAATGCTTTTTCATTCTTGGAATGAAGTTTCAAAAACCACTCTTAATAACTGCTTCCACAAAGCAGGATTTATGGAAGGAATAGTAGTACCAGACGAAGATAAAGAATGCTTTCCTGCATTAAAAAAATTTAATTGATCAGTTACATCAGTGACGAAGGTCTTGTTCCAGAAGATTTTACTAACGAAGATATGTTAACAATTGATGTTATGTTATATAATCATTTCAGTTATGGGAGGAGTGATGACTGATGAAGATATCGTTCAAGATATCATTGAGGAAGTTGAAGAAGAATTGCAAGAAGAAGAAGGAAACAAAATGTCAGATAAAATGATGACAAAGCCAAAGATTGAAGAAGTTTGTAAAAGGATTGATACCTTTGCTATTTTTTTGATGTTTACTCGGAGCAGTGAAATTGGAAGAGTAGCTTTGAATGCTGCAAAGCTGTTTGAAAAAGAATTGTGCAAGTCACTGAAGCAAACATCAATTTCGGACTTTTTTTCGTTTATAGTATATATAAAATATACAAAAATATATATTTCACATAATTTCACATTATATTGTTCTATATATATGTAAATAATATTTATATATTGAGGAGCATTTGATAAGTCTTGAAATCTCAATAATTTGGATATTTTAAAAAGTCCGACTTAACGAGAGCTTTGCTTAATTTGGACATTCCTTAAGTCGGAAATAAATATATACCCCTTCAGAGTCTGAGTTAATGGGATTCTATGGTATGTATGTATATACATATATATATATATATATATATATATATACATATATATATATATATATATATATATATATATATATATATGTATATATATATATATATATATATATTTATGTACTGGCGATTTATGTTATAATATATAACATAAATGGCTAGTTTAAATGAGCACTCTGACATCATTCTTTCAGAGATGCCGACCTCATTCTTTTAGAGGTCAGCAAAAAAAATTTGATACAAAAGTCTTACCATAAGACATAAAAATGAAGTATATATATATATATATGTATGTATATATATATATATATATATATATATATATATATATATATATATGTATATATATATATATATATATATATATATATATATATATATATATATATATATATATATATATATATATATATATATATATATATATATATATATATAGACAAAAAATAGTATAATAAAGTAGTAAAATAATAAAATGAATCCAATTATTAAAAAGTGACATGAAAAGCAACTATTATAGGTGCTCGTAAAATTTGAAGCAATTGTTCGCCATTTAAAGCTCGCTATTTAAAGAGTTTTTTATTCATGTTTTATTTTATATGAGCAATTGCTCAGAGTAAAAACTTTTGCAAAAAAAAAAAAAACAATCTCTTAAAATTTTTATTTCAATTTTATTAATTTGAGCAATTATTTCAAAATCAGTTAAAGCAATTGCTCATTTTTATTCCCTCCCTCATGAATTTTTTTTTTTTTTACAATAAATGTTATTTTAATTTTTTTAAGACATGGATCAGTTGTTGTTTAATTGTTTTTGTCAAGCACTTTTAAACGCCAAAAAAATTGAACTACCAATACTTGTAAGCAGTTTTTCCAGTCAATATTTGCATCCTGCTTGGTGAGTTTTAAAAAAAGTGACTTTCTATTATTTTTGAATGGTATCAATTTTTCCCAAAACAGTTTATTTTTATATTAAGAATTAACGTCATAAATCCTTTTTGAGTTCATTCTTTATTAAACTTTTTATTGTTATATTATTTAGTGTTAATCATTTTTTTGTTTTTTATTCTCAAATTCAAGTCCAGAAGGGCAAAGACTTGATGTGAAAAAGTCGTCATACAAAAAAGTAAGTTTTAATTCAAAATTATAAATTTCTTTGTTGTGTTGCAGTTTTTTTTTTTTAATGTTTTAATAGTGTTACATTTTTTTTAAAGTGTTATAAATTCTTACTTACTCATTTATGTTATAATTTCTTATTTACTTATTCACAGTGACATGCTGGCTCCAAAAAGCCTGTGCAGGATTTTTCTCTAAAGACCCATGATACTAATCAGGGCATTGACCCAAACATGAATTCGTTTGGGTCAATGCCCTTATTTCATAGATTTAAACAGTTCTAAAAATATTTGGAGATCATTTGAATTTTTATCTTGTTCAGATCGGTTGTGGTTTCTTAGCCTAATATTTTGCCCTTTTGCAGAAACATCAATATTCCACCAATCTATAACCTGCTGAATAAATAAGGATGTTTCATGAGCTCCTTTTAGTTTCAAAGCAGCTACTACTTTCTCATTAAATATTATTAAAACATGTTGCACATTCTGTAATTAAAGTCTAGAAGGATAAACAGCAGCATGAAATGTAGGAACTGATTTTAAAATATTATCCTTTTCATAATGACTAGCAAAAGGCAACCCGTAATACGGGTTTTGGTCGGTCTGTTACATAATTAATTTATAGTAGCTGTTTTCCACAATTTAATCTTGCAAAACCTTAACTAATACCCTTTTAGAAAATTGCCTTCAGCTTGAAAAAATTAATCCATCTGTAAAATTAACATAAAAATTATGAGGAGGTAAAATAATTTACCAACTACTACTTAACATTATTAAGTAATTTACAAATGGCACAGGCCATAACAGTGTAAGGCAGAACCATTTTCATCGACCTTCCTAAGTTTAACACAATACGTTTTTAGTTACTGACGCAAAATAATAACACTTGGTTATACTTTAAATTGACGAAAGTGTCAACTAAATCCTTAAAATAATTTTTATAACACGAACCATTAAGATTAAAATGAAGTTAACTTATATTATACAGGAGTTATCAATTTTTTGTTATCCCCTTGATTAATTGTTCTTTAGAAAAGAAAATTGTTAACTTAAAAATGTTAAATGCACACGTTTAAATAAATTAATAAAAAATAACAAAGTTTATTATACTACGCAACTGAGTACAAATACCTTTCAAACAAAAAAAAATTTAATTTACGATCAAACATAGGTATAACAAATTTTTTAATACATTAATGCATCATAGAACAAACTAAAATAAAAATTATAAGAGATAAGTAGACATAAAAATTTGTAAACCAAGCTGACCCGACCCGGGTCTTGTTAAGTCTGTTCAACACAGACCATTTGTATATTATTTATTTGGCCTCTTTATTTCATTAAATTTTTAGTAAACGGTAATTTGCCACCTTTTACTAAAAATTCCTTTTGTAACTCGAAATTTAATTTTTCTAAATATTTTGGCTCTAATAAAGAGGTTTCTTCCCTCTTTTTGCTTTAATGGTGGCCTGGTGAATAAAATAAAATATTAAAATGTAAAACAATGATCTACTTATATAAAAATATTTTCTTTCTTTCCTCAAAAGTGTTGCAAATACAGACTAAGCTAACTAATTAGTTAAACACATAAATAAAACTTAAGTAACTCGATATTAATGCGCAAAACTACAATATTCTCCATATTTTTAAAGGTTTTTAGTTACGACCGCCCATTCAACCCATACGACCCCCCAATCAATTCTCTCTCTACAATTCTCAATACTAATTCTTATTTAAGTCTCATCTAAGAGAGAGAGGAAGTGTTTTAAAAACACCATGTTAGAAAAAGTAAAAAAGTCATGCAATAAATAACAGTAACTGGTTTTATTATGCTACCAATAAACAAAATTATTTTTACCTTAACTAAAAGTTAATTTCCAGCATTTCTTAATTAATTTCCAGCTTCTCTTTAACTGTTGACAAATGATTAATATTGTAAATTTCACATCATATTAAATTTACAAAATTAAAACCATGTTTCAACAGTAAGCAAAATAATCAAGTGATGACAAAAACAACTAAAAAAAAAATGAACAATTATATTAAGATTACAAAAGTAAAAAAAAAAAAAAAAAAAAAAAAAAAATCATTTAAAACTGAAATTTTTATTATTTGTTACTATAAATAGTAAAATTCATACTTTGCTTTATTTTAAAGTGTCTAATGTAAAGTCAAATAATAGACATTAACAGCGCTTGACACTGAATTCTGCCAAGTAAGTTTTTGGTTCATCAAGCAAAATTTCTTATATTTCAACGACAATTAATTTTATCATGCCTAGATCTTTTTCTTTCATATGACAACAACTTCATGTCACCTATAACCATTTACACTAATAACTTCTTCGAGCCTAATATTATAAATCTGTTATCATTAAATATATATTACCAGTTTTTATGCTACTGTTACAACTGAATAAATGAACGTTTTATATTTTTACTACTGAAAAATATAAAACAAAATTTATTTACATTATTTTAATTTAGCAAAGAATTTAGAACACAGTGCAAAGTTATTTGCATTGTGTTCTAAATTCTTTGCTAAATTAAGAAAGCCTTCAGGCACAATCTTAATGCACAAAAATAATAAATGCAGAATCTTGTATAAAAAATGAAGCAATGTCAGTCTAAAGTAATATATATGTATGTATATATATTCAAATTTTTTCTATTCTTAATTTTTTCTTTGAGATAATATTCATATAGATTCAGAGAAATATAAAATATTCCGATATATAGGCACATTTAAGTATATAAACTTACCTGTCAAAAATTACAGTCAGTTTTTCATGTTAAATACATAAAATATATATCTAATATAAAATTAAACAAAAAATTAAACTTACTCAAATCAGTAACAGTTCGACTGTCTAAATATTTTTATTATTAACCCTTCTATTTAAAAAATAAAAACAAATGATTTGAAGTAACTAAAAAGCACTTTAGCTCTTTCCAATTGCACTAAAAAATAAAATAAATCTTGCTTGCTAAGTTGCCTAATTCTTAAGAATCTGATAACAAATAAGTAAAAAACCAAGAACAAACAAACATTTATTTACTAAAACTACTCTATTTAAATAAATTAAAGTATACAGAGAACAACATTGATACTCCTTGAAAGCTGAAAAACTTTTTATCTCAAATTTGCTTGTAGACCTTGCTTATGAAACCACTTGAATAAGAAAAGCATCAAAAAAGCCTAGAAGCTGGTATATGCTACATTGAATTTTAAATGTTGATTGGTGTAGATATTTTTAAAAAAATTCAAAATGATTTGTTCTTCTATAGCAAATAAATACACCATAAATCTGAAGTTAAAAATGTAATGAATAAGTAAATACAAAGAAAAACATCATATGTGAATTAAAAATCAATGTACCTGATAGAGATAAGCTGCGGTGATACCTGAGTAGTATCACCACATACACGTATTTATCAAAAAAATTTTAACTTTGATCATAATATAAATGCAAACATATATGCAAACTTTTAACAACTATAAAAGAACATTTATTAGCATCAATTATTTTTAATGTAACAAAGAATGCAGACTACAATGCACGACATTGTTAATAAAAATGAAGTTATGTCAGTCAGTATATATTTATCTAAAGTAGTGAAAAAGAATAAACCATTTAAAAACAAAATTAAAAATTTCTAATGAATATATATTTAGATACCTTAAAATGAAGCATAACACAACACTCTTTTGACAAATTCCAAAGCAAATTTTTTAAATTTTTCTATTCCTTATTATTTTATTCCTTATATAGATAAAATACATATTAAATGCCACATTCAACTAATGTAATTAATACCTTTATTAGATCTCTCTTGATTAACTAAAGAATTTAAATTTTAAATAAACTCTAACTAAATTTTAACAAACAAACAACCAAAATAAATCTTCATATTAATAGTACGTTATTAAGTTGATTAATAGATCAAACAATTTAATCTACTCTAATAATCTACTACCTTATTAATAAACTTTAATTTTTTTTCTACGACTCAGTGTAACTATAATATAGATATTTTTAAAGTAAAAAAGAATTTAATATTATAATATATATGATTTTAAAAACCTGAAATTTTAAATCTACCTCGAAGAAAACAGATATATAATAAAAAGTATTTTTATTTCTTTTTAAAAATTTAAAAATGCTTTATAACTTACTTGTTTCGATATTATCACCAACGTCTAAATAGAAAAACAAACAAACATTCAAGTCGACTCATTCTTAAATCTTATAATATATATGATTTAAAAAACCTGAAATTTTAAATCTACCTCGAAGAGAACAGATATATAATAAAAAGTATTTTTATTTCTTTTTAAAAATTTAAAAATGCTTTATAACTTACTTGTTTCATATTATTACCAACGTCTAAATAGAAAAACAAAGATATATGAGTTATATATAAGATTTTAAAATATATATGACTTTAAAAAACTGAAACTTTAAATCTACCTCAAAGAAAACAGATATATATTGAAAAGTATTTTTATTTCTTTTTAAAAATTTAAAAATGCTTTTTAACTTACTTGCTTCAATATTGTCATCATCTAAATAGAAAAACAAACAAACATTTAAGTCGACTTATTCTTAAATCTAGTTTAATTTCTTCAATAATAAAAAAAATTTAATCTTTGAGGATTAAATTCATTTACAAAAATCCGTTTAAACCATTTTAACATTGTAAAGTTAATTTAAAGTTTTAAAAAACTGAAACTTTAATTCTACCTCAAAGAAAACAGATATATATTGAAAAGTATTTTTATTTCTTTTTAAAAATTTAAAAAGGCTTCTAAACTTACTCCCTCCAATATAATTATATAATATATATAGTATATATGATAAATAAACCTCCACAATATCCTTGGTTTAACAACTCGATTATGATTTATAACAACTCTGTAAACATGAATTTTCTAATAACCTAAATAAATTACAGATAGACAAACATAAACTAACACAATTAAATCCTAAACCAAAATTCATTCATGCAAG